TTTTATAATTTCAAGTGCGTCGTTTGAACACGAAAACAGTTCACAATGTTTAAAAGACAAAATTTGTGTCAAAAAATATTTTATGTTTACTATTCGATTTCCTTCAAAAGATTCCTTGTTCCTGAAAAATGCTCATTTTATTATTATTTTTTAAACATTTGGGTAATTAGGTACTTTGAATCATGACTTCCAGTATTTAAAGGATGATCAGACTCTTCAGKTATTGGTGTGTTCTGACCCCTTTCCTCGTCGAAAACSCTSTTATCTGAAGAAGTATTTTGCATTGCTTTTTGCTTTGCCCATCTGTAATTTTATCAGTTGTATAAACCCAGATATAATTGTGGGTGTTTACGGAACAACTTCTAGGACCCCTGGTAGAGTATATTTCAAAATTTTTTCGCTTCTAAACAAAGCGAAAGAACAAAAAAATATTTTCAACAAGAAGTCATTTGCTAAATGAAGATCGCGTATGGATGTTAGTGATTGCAGTATACAGGCATCAGGTATTGAAACAAGATGTTTCAAAAAGATTGGATTTATCGTTAATTAATCATACCATTGAGACTCGTCGAAAACTATTACAAAATTGATTTATCTAATTAACTAACAATTTTATGCAAAATATTTTGTTAGTTTTATCATCACTCATTATATCTACCTACTTTAGATAATATGTTTGTGGATCTAATTAAAAAGTTGTACTGTACCCAGACATTGGATAAAAGACTATAATGGGGTCCCAGTCTTTTAAATATGCTACCATTTGATGTTTGTTATTATTTATTTTGACATGACGAAAATACGAATTTTGTGCATTTCTTTTGATTTACCTAATCTGCATACATACTAGGTACTTAAAAAATTGTGGTTATTACCTTCTCTTAGTTAATAATCTTTTGCTTTTACGACTATCAGACAGTCGCAATGGTTTTTTATTACCCATTTTGCTTTGTATTTTACAAAGTACAAAACACAACTGAAGACGGCTTTCAAAGACGAATAGGCTCAGAGACAATGTTTCCAATATTGGGCATTTCTCGGAATCAATTCACTCATGGGAACGGGACGGGACACGTGTGAGTGTGACAACTACTGAAGGATAAAGATACGATGAATTTAACTCTCATCATCTTTACAGTAAAATTTTCTCAGAAAAGTAATTAACCTGTAATTAACTAACAAATTTCAAATTTTAATATCATATTCACAACACCTTAAATTAATTCGCTTGAATATTTTCTTTGTAAAAATAAATAACTTCGAAGGTAAAATGTCATTACAAAGATGAGCAATTTTTTCCTGTATTTCAAWWTTTTTTTTTGCGAAATTTAAAAAAATTTCAAAGCTCTTTTTGTTCAAGGGGTTTTGATCGTAATGAATTGTATCATATATATTTTTTTCGTAAAAATATTTCGAATGGGTAAGCCTCAGTTTTCCGACGAAAAACCCGCAAATTGTGGTCAGTTCGTCGTGTGGAAGAATCCCCTTAATTGTTTTTGAAGCACTCACAAATTCACGAGCTTATTTTTTATATATATTTTTCCCGCAGTAGTCAAGTGCATAATGGAGCAATAATCGAACAGATTTACCTCTTTCTTAAAATCCTAGACTCAATTTTGCATATAACTAAATAATTTTCAGCTCATAAATAAATCAATTTATTTTGTACTGGATGTTAAAAATTATAACTATTTTTATTAATTGCATTTGATGAACTTGGTAAGTGTCAAAATTAGGAAAATTACTTCTTATAACGACATTAATCATAATCATTTTTTCCGTGGTATTTTTATTAAGATTATTTACTTTTTTACTTCTCCTAATTTTTTATTTAAATAGTTAATCAAGGCTCATTTTTCATGTATTTTCCTTCAAACTTGAGCCCTTTTCCGGGCGTGTCCTCCGTCCTTGGCTCCGACCCCGGAAAAAGCAGTGAAAGTCCGTGGAGGTCATCACCGTGAGCGAGCATGCGCTCTCCTCTTACTAGTTTTACGCACATTCCTTCAAAGGTTCGCTTCCACCAGCTGATCGTGGCCCATTCAGGCACTGATTACAATATTCGCGATCGGAGGGCCTAGACGGGGGGGTCGAGGGGCGCCCCGCGGCCCCGGGCTCCTATCTGGGTGGTCCTCGGTGTGGCCGGCGTCGTGTGTGGCGCTCGCTCCCTCCATCCCGCCTCACCCAGGATACTCCTACCCTGGGCTTTTTATCGCCGGCCTCGCAGCTCACCATGTGCTCTCCTCGCTGCTGCTGCTGCTGCTGCTGCTTCCAGACGAAGAACTCATCGCAGAGGAAACAAGAGCACGACGGCCCTCTCGGAAGTGCGATGACTCGGCCGACCGACGTAGTAAACAATGCGATTGAGGACGCGCGACGACAACAACAACGCACAAAAACACACTTACCGCACGAGGGCACCAAGCCACTGCTTACCAATTCGCAGCGCACGAGAAAAATCCTATTTATTTTCAATGATTTCAATGCTGGATACTGGAAAAGGCACAAAAAGTTTGTTTATTCGCAACCCTATATGTAATGTTGACATTTCTAACCTCGAAAGTGAGTGTCTCATTAGCATTACTGACTTTCTATTGCCTACCTGTATTACTACCCTCGTTAACAGACAGAAATAAAACACTTTTCCCCTCGATATGTAATATACTATTTATACAAGGTGTTAAAAAAATTGTAAATGTTAAAAAATGTAAATGATAGCAAAAAAGCATCAAGAAGAAGAAATAAAACCTTCACATTTATAAAATGCCTAAAAAATGATTTCACTTTCTGAACGCCTAATCTGAGCAAATTCAGAACTTTTAATCAATTTTTCAAATAGGTAGCAATTATAAACTACTTCTGAAAAAAAAGAATACTTACCCTTTTTATCATAGATAACGAGGCTAATAAACTTAGAAATGGACTTTTACTTTTTAATATATTTTCAGTTTTTTAGTGTACCTACTTTTTACCGAATTCTTCATTACTGCCTCTTTTATTAACAAATCAAAAATAATAATATTTTGTAATTTTGGAAAACTGCAGAATTTAAAAATGATGAGAAAAGTCATCTACAATAAAAAAAACAGTTCCTGACTCAATAAAAAATATTTTTCCTTTTCTTCTAGACAACCGAAGAAAATTTTACAGGGTGTTCAAAAAAGATTATAAAAAACTTAAGGAGGTAATAGTATGGACCAAAATAAACAGACAAGTTCGTCCATACATCTATCTCCTAAAAAAAATTTACAATCTTTTTTTAACTCACTGCATATTTTTTTGTACATTAAAATGTTTTGTTTAGAAAAAAAAAATAGATAAAGGCGACTGATTGAGGACCTAAAACAAAATTTTTGATCAATTTAAAGTTAAAGACTCTTAGTATTTATCTCAATACCTTCTATTACCTACCTCTATTACGAGTAGTAATCTCGTTAACAGACAGAAATTAAACTCTTTCCCCCTCGGTATGTAATATACTTTTTATACAGAGAGTTAAAAAAAGATTGTAAATGTTAAAAAATGTAAATAATAGCATCAAGAAAAAGAAAAAAAGAAACAAAAACCTTTACATTTTTTATCAAATGCCTCACTAAAAAAACTATTTAACTTTCTGAACGCCTAATTTGAGCAAATTCACAACTTTGAATCAATTTTTCCAATAGGTAGCATCTATAAACTACTTCCAAAAAGAAAAAAAAAGAATACTTACTTTTTTTATAACAAATAACGAGGCTAAAATTAGAAAATAAATAAACAATTTTCAGTTTTTTGACCGACTTTCTATTGCCTACCTCTATTACTACCCTCCTTAACAGACAGAAATAAAACACTTTTTCCCTCGTTACGTAATATACTATTTATACAGGGTGTTAAAAAAAGATTGTAAATGTCAAAAATGTAACTAATAGCAAAAAAGTATCTCAAGAAAAAAAATAAAAACATTCACACTTATAAAATCTCTCGCTAGAAAAATGATTTAACTTTCTGAACGCCTAATCTGAGCAAATTCAAAACTTTTAATCAATTTTTCAAATAGGTACTTCTAAAAAGGAAAAAAAAAAGAATACTTACTCTTTTTTATCACAAATAACGAGGCTAACATTAGAAAGGGACTTATACTTTTTAAATACATTTTCAGTTTTTTAGTTTACTTTTTATCGAATTTTTCATTAGTGCCTATTTTATTAACAAATCAAAAGTAATAATATTTTGTAATTTTGGAAAACTGCGGAATTTAAAATTGAAGACAAAAGTCATCCACAATAAAAAAAACAGCTCCTCATTCAATAAAAAATATTTCTGTTTTCATCTAGACAAGAAAATTCTACAGGGTGTTAAAAAAAGAGTGTAAAATATTTAAGGAGGTAATAGTAGATATGGACCAACATAGAATAACTTATCTCAATTCCTTCTATTACCTGCCTCTATTACCAGTACTAATCTCGTTAACAGACAGACCCTCTCGGTATGTAATATACTATTTATATTTTGTTAGTACAATTAAAATGTTTGTTTTAAAAATTAAATAAAGGCGTCTGATAGAGAACCTACAGCAAAATTTTTGATCAATTTGAAATTAAAGAAACCAAGAACTTGTAAAAATTTCTTTTCAAAAGGAAAATTTAAGTTCTTATTCAAAAATTAACAAGCAATATTTCAGTTTTGTTAAAACCCACATAATTTTTGCTTCAAATGATGTGTATTTTTGCAATAATTAATATTGATTGCCTTGTGGATGGAGTGGCAATAGAAAGCTTGTTTGGTAAGTGCAACTTACCTCCCGCGTGCAAAAAAGCCGTAGCGATTACCTCCGGATTACGCGCCGGCCGATTTCCTGTTATGAATCCTCCCCGAGTTGATCGTCCTCTCAGCCTATATTTTCCGTGCATAATGGCCACCTTAATTAGCCGCGGACCACCGTGGAGGCTTCTTACACGGCCCGACGGAGATTAAAATACATAATAGATAAATCAATTATGGTAAAAAAACCAACAACTGCCTTCTGGATAACAAACAATACGTTTATTTTCATTTTTGTACACATATGCGGGGGCCGATGCGACCCCGGACCAACACGCATAAATAAAATTCTATACAATAATTAATCTCTTAACAATTTATACAAAATTTTATAAATTAATAATTCAATACCGAACGGGTCTGAGCACGACACTATAGTCCTTTGTTGGCTTAATGGCGCTAATTAACAGGGACGTTAAACTAAAAGCGACATCTTCATTACGCACACGGAACTAATATCTGATCACGTGACTCAAAACTAATTAATTACGAGTTTCGCATAGCGTGATGCTAATTATTTAGATAAAATAACGGGTATTATGAAAATTAATGGTAACGACCGGACGCGATCAGTCATGTGATCGATTTACACTTTTTTGGCCAAGATGGCAGCTGCTGTGAACACGAAATCGCTTTCATTTTAACGTCTTTGGCAAAATTTATAACCTCACTTTTCTATTTCCCGCGCTTTTGGATTTTATTTTACTAATACAGAACAACCTCTTTAATCCGTCACACGAAATCAATAAATTATTTTTAAAAATACATCAAAAAAACATATTCTATTTCAGCAAAGAAAAAAATTATTAGTTTTTAATATAATATTGGAATATCCTTTTAACAAATTCACCTTGTGTATTTTTATACATTTTTTTGTGCATAAATACATATTGCAGTCGTTTATTCGTTTTAATACTCTGAAAAGTCTCTAATTTCGATAAATCCAAAAATTACTTCGAGTTATAGAGTTATTTTACGGTGATTTAGCAAATTTGGCCCAATTTCTGTATTTAAAATGAAGATTAATGTTCTAAGCCAAAAAAGTGAGATTTTGCAGTTTCAATTGTCTTAATTCTTCGAAAAATGTCTAATCTGGAAAACTCTAAAAGTTAGATCGGGTTATACTGATTCTATTGTACGTAGATTTAGCAGACCTGGTCCGATTTCTGCTTATGAAATGATTTTTTTTTCAGTTTTAAGACAAAAAATGAGATTTGGCGGAGGTTTATTCATTTTGATACTCCGAAAAATCTCTAATTTGGTGTGAACTTCAAAAATGAGCTCGGGTTACAGAGGTTCTATTGTAAATTGATTTAGCCCAATTTCTAGATTTTAAATAAAAATTTGTTCAGATTTTAAGACAAAAAGAGAGATTTTGCAGAGCTTTATTCGTTTTGATACCCGAAAAATCTCTAATTTGGTGAACTCCAAAAATGATCTTATGTTATAGAGGTTCTATTGTAAGCTTATTTAGCAAATTTGGTGCGATTTTTGCATTTAAAATAAAGATTTGTTCGGGTTTTAAGACAAAAAAGTGAGATTGCAGAGTTTTAGTCTTTTTAATACTACGAAAAATCTCTAATTTGGTGAAATCCAAAAATGAGCTCGTGTTATAGAGGTTCTATTGTAAGTCGATTTAGGAAATCTGGTTCAATTTCTGCAATTGAAATGAAATTTTTTTCAGCTTTTAAGACAAAAAGTTAGATTTTGCACAGGTTTATTCGTTTTATTACTCCGAAAAATCTGTAATCTGCAGAACTCCCGAAATTAGATAGGCATATACAGGTTCTATTGTAAGTTGATTCAGCAAACTTGGTGCGATTTTTGCATTTAAAATAAAGATTTATTCAGGTTTTAAGACAAAGAAGTGAAATTAATCATACTAAAAATCTCTAATTTGGTGAACTCCAAAAATGAGCTCGGGTTACAGAAGTTCTATTGTTAGTTTATTTAGCAAATTTGGCCCAATTTCTAGATTTTAAATAAAAATTTGTTCAGATTTTAAGACAAAAAGACAGATTTTGCAGAGGTTTATTCGTGTCAATACTCCGAAAAATCTCCAATCTGAAGTATTCCAAAAATTAGTTTGGGTTATAGAGGTTCTATTGTTGAAACCTGGTCCAGTTTATGCATTTGAAATGAAGATTTGTATTTTAAGACAAAAAAGCGAGATTTTGCAGAGGTTTATTCTTGTTAATAATCTCTAATCTGGAGAACTCCAAAAATTAGTTCGGATTTCGAGGTTCTATTGGAAGTTCATTTATGAAACCTGGGCCAATTTATGTATTTAAATGAAGATTTGTTCATGTTTTAAGACAAAAAGTGACATTTTATTCGTGTGAATCCTCCGAAAAATCTCTAATCCGGATAAATATAAAAATTAGTTCGGGTTATAGAGGTTCTACTGTAAGTTCAAGTGGTCCAATTTCTGTGTTTAAAATAAAGATTTGTCCAGATTTGAGGGCAAAAAAGTGAGATTTTGCAGAGGTGGTGCCCTGGAACGGAGTAAAACCCACGGTTATCGTCCAACAAGAAGTGCTAGTGTGTATAGAGCGACTCTCAAATAACTTAAAGCAATATACAGCATCAAGCGCCTTCTTTGGTTGCGTCAATCAGTAGGATTGTTCCCTGAAGTGATAGGGAATGAGTAACCTTAATTTAAAGCTTAACAATAACCTTTACAATTCACTGGAAGTGTAGTCTTGAGACACTATGATACAAAACCTCCCATCTATGTACAATTTACAAAGTGTGCGTTGCAACTATTTCTCTCTCATTTCTGGCATGTCTTGTAGATTTAGGAACTATAACGTGACATAGTTAACCGTCTAAACTTTGGTTAGCGACCACCGCTCCATAAATACGAAAATAAATAAATACTGTTAAATCGAGGTAGATTCGGAGTTGGGGAAGCCCGAGGGTATCACGTGACGAGCGCCGCGGCCGCGCACAGGAGGGCGGCGAGGGCGAGGCTGGGGGCCGGCGCCGCCCCCATGACGTCGTTGGGGTGCACGGGCGGCGGGTCCGTGGGCCGCTTGGTGGCGTTCTGGTGGTGGTGGACGCGTTTGTGGAAGCACAACTTCTCCATGTTCCTCTGGATGGCGGGACAGTCGTAGTCCTCGAGGCCGTCGCACTTGCACATTGTCAATTTGGCGGCTTTCTCCTGCCGTCGCAGGATTGAAATCGAGTTGTTGCAACGGGGAGTGCACTTTTTGCCATGGAACATCGCCCGGCAGTAGTGGTTGTAGTACTCCAAGGCCGTGGAGCAGAGGGCGTCCGCGGCGCAGATCCATTGGGCCATGCGGCAGGAGACTACGGGCTCGCTGATGGACTTCATCACCTGGGGGCGGCAGATTTCTGTGCGGCGTTTCTGGTCTTCGCAGTATTCGTCGCTGCATTCGCACTGGGGGAGAAAACTCATCATCAATATACCCGAAGAAAATAAAATAATGTCACATAATTTAATAAAAAGAAAACTAATGAAAAGTTTACAACAAAGACCAATTTTTGTGTTCCAAAATACCCTAAAGACTTAGTTTAATAAGTTTTTGGTTGCAAAAGTACAAACAAATATGTATACAGGGTTATTCATAAATACGAAGCAATATTTGAACCTCAAAAATAACCTATAAAATGATGTTAATTTAAATAATAACTCGTGTCCTATCTCTACTGATAAGAATATGACAGCCCTCGGAATGTGGGTATGGAAATTTGATTTTTTTGTAATAACTTTGGARCTATTTGACCAAATATTATAAAATTTGGAACATTTCCTTGTGACAACATACCCTTTAAACTGGTAATCACGAAAACCGGATACATCCACTCAATTTCCGGTTCCAGCAGTTGCAGGTCACATTTTCTGTGTTTTTCCATTTTTTTGCACTCTTAACACCAATTTTTTATTGCCCAAATCGATAGAGTAATCAATTTCGATTAAAAAACGCATACTTTAATACCCCTAAAATGGACCGTTTCAAAGATATTTTAATTTAAACTGAAGACTGCACAACGCTGAAACCAAAAAGTAGGGATTTTGAATGGATGATATCCACGGTAACAAATGACCATGGTCTCACTAATCGCTGTCAGGCATCTGTCAACTTTGACATTGGACGATTATTAGACAATTAATCGAAAATATTTAATAAAAGAGTTTACCTCAGATTGCAAACATAACTTAGAATAAATCCAAATGGATCTCGTAGCATTTAATTCATAAAAAATTCACAAAAATTTATTGTTAAAGTTAACAGATGCCTGGCAGGGATTTATGTGACCATGGTCATTGGTTGGCGTGGATACCATTTATTCAAAATCCCTATTTTTTTGATTTCAGCCTTGTGCAGTCCTCAGTTTAAATTAAAATATCTTTGAAACGGTTCATTTTAGGGGTATTAAAGGTTATGCGTTTTTTAATCGAAATTGATTACTCTATCGATTTCGGCAATAAAAAATTGGTGTTAAGAGAGCAAAAAAATGGAAAAACACAGAAAATGTGACCTGCAACTGCTGGAACCGGAAATTGAGTGGATGTATCCGGTTTTCGTGATTACCAGTTTAAAGGGTATGTTGTCACATGGAAATGTTTCAAATTTTATAATATTTGATCAAATAGTTCCAAAGTTATTACGAAAAAATTAAATTTCCATACCCACATTCCGAGGGCTGTAAAATTCTTATCAGTAGAGATAGGACACGAGTTATTATTTAAATTAACATCATTTTATAGGTCATTTTTGAGGTTTAAATATTGCTTCATATTTATGAATAACCCTGTACATACAAAAAGTTTACGTCCAGTGCAATTAGACAGTTTTTTTTTTAATATAATTTAAAATTTTTCCGACAAAAATTGTCATTTCAGAAATGAGTATAATGGCGAGCATCAAATTTTGGTACTCAATGTCATTCCCTAATATACCCTCTTGTCAAAATTACACAGGCAAACTACTTTTTTTGACAAAAAGATGAAGTTTCAAAATGACATTACCTACCCAAATTTTATGCTCGCCATTGTACCTAGCTTTAGCAACGAAAACCGAAAGGAAACGCTACGAATTTTTTAAATGACAAATTTTGCAAGAAAACATTAGATCAAGAGTTGAATTCGGCTTGACAATCCATCACGCAAAATTTTATTTGCTCGATGTTAGTTATAATAATAATTGTGTTTTTAATAATTATTATAATAAAGAATAATGTTTAATGTAAATATTTAAAAACTTTATTTTTTTGTTACACGTGTGTAACTGTGTATGTAGTTAATATTAAATTAATAAAATTTGACATTCATTTTGACATAAATTTTTTCACTGAGAAAAAACACTAGTGGTTTTTCACTATAAACTAATTTCATTAGTCCCAATTTGAAAAATTCTGTAATTTGATTGGTTAAAAATGTTCATCCTGGATTGTGAATTAAAAACAATGGACAATAAAAATACAACATTATTTATTCATACGTGGTACTTTCTACATCACATTTTACGGAGATTAACTAAATTGAATTAAGTCAGTTTCCACCATCTATCATTTTAATCTTATAGCTTAGGACAAAGAACTGGTTGCTTAATATTCTGAATAGATATAAAAAGGGATTTTAGAAAGACACTAAAACTGATTTATTTCTTTTGGGAAAAATTAGGCATTTAACTTGTCAGATGACAAAAACAAGGAAGAATAATTCAAGTGAGTAAATTTCCTTTATTTCCTGAAAACAAGGGCTTATCGAGATAATAACTAATCTAATCTTGGTCAGGTACCGAGTAAGTGACAATGACTGTGATTTTTGTCAGCACGTTGGCGACACATTTGAAATCTTAATTTGGCAACATTGACTGTCAAATTCAAATGTCAGAATTTTATAGTCAAATGTCATTCGTTTTTGAGGGACGACTGCTGGCATAGCCGTCACCTGAAACAATCTGATATCATAGACTAGAAAGATTACCAATAATTCAGTGTTGCCAATAGATTTTTTTGTCGCAATTATTTACAGTCACTTGGTACCTATTTATTTTGTAGTATAAAGTCAATGGTTTATTTTTTATTAGGAACAAATTACATGTACAGTATATTATTTAAACGACTAGTATTTTTGATCAGTAAAAATAATAAATGCACAGTAAAAGAAATGACTGAATGTCTAGTAAAACTAATTTATTTAATATTCACACATTTACAAACAAAATGTTTCCGAGCAAAACTGGAATGTCGCAAACCGTTCAAAAACAAAATTGTACGCTGATTAGACTGATTACCATTTGTGCACAGTTTTCAGCCCTTGCTAAAATCGTTCTTGGGCAGGGGCCCTTGTTACAATAATAATAAATAACATTTTTGCGCAGGGGCCATTCATTGTTATGTAATCAAGACTGAAAATTCCTTAAATTTTATGTTATTTTACTATTTTGATTAAAGTTACTGAGCGTTTATTATTTTTACTGTGCAAATTGGATTTTTTTACTGAACAAATTACATTAAAATACTGCGCGTGCTTTACTTAGCATTTATTATTTTTACTGTGCAAAATATTATATTATACTGATCATTTTTAATTTTTTACTGTCCAAAAATTAATTAAATACTGATCATATATCATTTTATACTGATCAAAATTGAATTATTTACTGATCGCTTTATTACTACCCTTTTTTATTTCAAATATTTTTTCTTCTTCCTGTCTAATGTATTTTTGAAACTAAAATTAAAAGCCCCTGCTGAATTATTTTTTTCATAAATGCCTATTTTTTTTAATTGTATAAGTGTAAATATTTGTTGTATTTTACATAAAAAATGTGATTGTGTTTAAAACGACGAGCCAATGTGAAAAAATAAACCAAAGAGATAACAAAATTTACTTTACCAATGTCACAATAACAGTAATATTGATTTAAGAATGATGACTTTATTAATACCTTTCTAAAAAAATAAGCTTCTTCAATTGAAATTTAAAATTTTTATTAAATAATACACAAAGGATCTGTGGAAACATTGTTTTCATAAAATTAATTCAAGCAATGCTAATAGAACTAAATCAATAATTAACAAATTAATATAACTAAAATTTTTATCAGATTTGGACAGAATTAAGAAATTATGTGTTATTAATGAAATGAACAAAAAATAGTCACCGAATACCGATTATTCGAGAAATAAAATTATGGTTTTAAAAATGCCCTTCAATTTTAGTTAAACAATTAATGAATATACAATTGAAAAGAGAAAAAATGCAGAAAACAAATTACCATAAGTCGAATCTCAGGGACGCAAAGAGTTATAGAAACTTCGACTTACAGACTTCAAAATATGTATAATTTGCCGTCAAAAAACTCGCATTTTTATTCTACGTGTAGTTATGGAAAAATTCAACTAGGAAGTTCGACTTATGGGAGTTCCACTGTAATTAATAAATTGTTTCATTTTGTGATTTATTATTTTTAAGCATATTTCTACACCTATAGTTTTTAGTCTTTTGCATCTCGACATTTTTAAGACTACTGATTCTTTGGCAGTTTCTTTTATTACTTTATTATTTATTATTTTGTGAAAACAAGAGTTTTAACAACAAAATTTTAGTTATAGCTAATTTAATCTTGAAGAGATATTTTATATAGAGATGTTTTTTATTCTTCTTCACCTTTAATTTAATGGATTTCAGTCTCGATTCCAGTCATGCCTCATACCTACCCTAAATATTATTTCTAAAACGTAAGAAAAACATAATCCAGTATTAGAGGACCTTCTTGAATGATTTATTTTTCATCGAAGAAAGAAATTCAAACTTTTTGAAATTTTACGAAGTATAACTACACAAAAAACTCTTCTTTATTACCTGCCTATACTTTAGGTATACTTATTTTAGGTCTCGTTGCTTCCATATTTTGGTAATTTCAGAGTTTTTTTGCATATTCGAATTTATGAACTGTTTTTTGGTCTCTCTTTCAGCTTTTTGAAAAGACTACTGACCTTTTTTGAATTAGACAATTTTCTCTAAACACCGGTAATGTACAGGGTGCTGCATTTTGGATGTCCGAATAGGGAATCTCCGAAACTAAAAGGTTTAGCCAAAAACGAGTAATACATTCTGGGGCTCATTTTTTGAGAAAATAATATTGGTTAAAACCGCATCCCGCTATCGTCTTTTGTTTTCGACTTATAGACAAAAGTTGACATTTTGGCGAAATCTAAAAAAAATTGTATCTTCGTTATTATAGAAGATACGGATTTGAAATAAAGACATTATACAGGCACTTTTTTACGAGGAATTTAATAATGTAGTTAACAATTTTTTTCAGTTATTATTTTAGCCGTAATAAGATAAACTTGTATTTTTTTAGATGAAAATCATAGGCGGCTATGGCAATTTTGAAAAGCTTATTTTTTTTTCTGGTCTAAAAAATATATATTTGTAACAAAATATTTTTTTATAAATATACTTAAAAAGTTAAATACATATTTTGTGTGATAATAGTTGGCCATGGAAAAACTATTTCACTCTAATGTGTAAATAATAATCAATATGAGTTTTGTGAACTGTAAAATAGATGAAAAAATAGATAAAATTATAAAGATTTAAAAAATACGATACGGTAGAAGCATTGAACAAATATCCGAGCGCCTCAGAACAAAATTATTATATATTTTTAAAAAATCAAAAAATAGGAAAAACAAATGTGTCAACAGTCAACAAAATTACAAAAAATATTTTTTTGATGATCTAATGAAGGTAGGATAACGTTTCACATATACGGAATTTGGGTATTTGAATAGCCATATCGTCATATTTGTGTCATATAAAATATATTTTATTGTAGAATTAAAGAGGCTTTTTTTTACAACACTCTATGTATCACTAGAAGTTGCAATGGTAATGTTAGCTTGTTTAAAAACAAAGAAATGTTATTAGTCGCCAATAAGTTGATTTACAATTTATTTTGCATCTTTTTCATCACTTAGTACTTAGAAAACTCTTTCATTAGTGAACTGGTTGAATATAATTTAGTTTAAATCCTTTTAGTTGAAGATGCAACATTTTTTCATGGCCAACTGCGAAGAAAAATCAAAGATAATTTTTTGCTAAAAATGTATTATAATAATTTGATACAAATATATATTTTTTAGATAAGAAAAAAACAAGCTTTTTAAAAATGACAGCCATCTATGATTCCCATTTAAAAAAATGCGAGTTTATTTTATTACGGCTAAACAAACAACTGAAAAAAAAATTGTTAACTACATTATTAAATTCTTCGTAAAAAAGTGCCCGTATAATGTCTTTATTTCAAATCTGTGTCTTCTATAATAACGAAGATATGAATTTTTTTAGATTTCGCTAAAATGTCAATTTTTGTCTATAAGTCGAAAACAAAAGACGATAGCGGGATGCGGTTTTAACCAATATAATTTTCTCAAAAAATGTATTACTCGTTTTTGGCTAAACCTCTTAGTTTCGGAGATTCCCTATTCGGACATCCAAAATGCAGCACCCTGTACATATTTTTTAAAATTCATTCCTGCATTGAATAATTTGAAGAATTGTTCATTCAAAACGAAACAGGCCCATTATTGTGTTACATTTTTTATATTTATCTTCAATGAAACAAATAAATGAATACACATAAAAATAAACCGACACCTTTGAACCTTTATAATGAGCGTTTATCTGTAAAAAAATTCTGTTTTGGAACAAGAAATGCCTTCTAACCATAAATAGGGAAGTTGAAATAGAGCCAAAACTCACATTCATCAAATCCTTCCCCTCTTCGGTGGACGTGAGGGCAATGAGTGAATGGTGGCAAATCTCCGGGCAATGCGAGGGCGGCGGCCCTTGCAGCACCCCCGAACACCCCATAACGTAATGCTGGAGGGCCGTTCCACATCCCACTCGATAGGCACACCTCATCCGTGCCTCTTCGCACGGCAGCGGCGTCGCTACACCCATCATAGCCGCCACTGATACCATGACCCACCACATGCCTGGAAAAAAGCAACTTATCAAAACTCCAGATTACATCTTATTGTTATTTACAAGTCAATGTCGCCAACTTGACCCCCATCTCAGATTCAATGCACTCACAACACGGCCACTAGCGCGATTGCTATGTGGGTAATTATATCAGAAACGCGAATTTAGTGATTAGATGTAATAACGTAAGCTGGTGCAAAGAATACGTGACGGCGGACATGTCGCGGAAAGTGCAAGTAAATGCACAAATCGAGCTGAATTTTTTCAAGTTTGATTTAGTGCCAAAACTCTGCTTTGATCCATGACCCAAGAGTGACTTGCTGGGAGGATATTTATTGTTGTCTCTGTGTTATTCACAGAAAAAAATGTGGTTCACTATGCGTTTATTGAACCGGCGGGGAGACTCAATTTAGACGTTGCTTGGGTTAAAATTCATCATTTGGTTATCACTGATATCGTCATGTTTCAGTTTTTTTCCAAATATGAAAACTATTTTTCCTGATCAAAATTCAAGGCTGTGAGCCTCCTTTTCTGGATGATGTGACGTCACCCCTAATCGCTTTGATTCAGGGCCGTACCCAAGGGGGGGATTAGGGGGTTCATCCCCTCCCCGAAATTCTGAGCACTTTGTTATATAGTGTTATAAGTGTTAAAAATTTAGTTTTTTTGTTACTTTAGTGAGTTAATTTTAAATTTTTGTGAATTATTTTTTCATGTGTTAATTTTTTATTGTTAGGAACAAATTTAAATAGTTGATAGAATATTTAATTTCAAGACAAAAGTGTTTCGAAAAATGCTATGAAAGGGAGCTACACCCCCTAAAGAAGGTACGTTTTTTAAAGGGTTTTTTCTAATATTTCAGAATAAATAAAATTACAAAGTTTGGTACCTTTATATGTACACCTAAACAAATGCCAAATAACAAAATTTTTAATCAGGGGCGTCCTAAACGGTGGAACAAATTTAATTTTTAATTTTTATGTTGTTTATGGTATGTAACATAAATTTTTAAACCGATTTTTACTAAAAATCCGTAAATTGTATCGGAAAAACACAAAAGACCTTTTTTTATGAAAAACTATGAAATTTTGTTGCCCAAAGTGGCAAGAAACCACAGGCAAAATTGAGTAAATTTTTATCCTAATCCCATCTAGTTTAGGAATCCCTAATTAAAAATTTCAACATTTTATTTTTGTACTTGTTTAGGTGTATAAAAGTTATCATATGTACCAAATTTTGAATTTTTTTCTAAAATAATTTCGGAAATATTGAAAAAAAAACTATTATAAGACGCACCAATTGCGTGGCATTTTTCGATATATGTTCATAGAAAATTTTTGTTTTAGAAATGAATATTCTATCTCCTGTTTAAATTTGTAACAATAAAAAGTATTAAAAATTTATTTTATTTTTTGTTAATTTTGTGAGTTAATTTGTATTTTTTATGTTTAATTAGGATCTCTTTTTCAATTTAAAATAAAAACACAAAATACCCCCGAAATAAAATCCTGGTTACGGCCCTGCTTCGATTTATTCTTTATCTCCTTGTTGATTATTTTCGTCGTTGTCAAAATAAAGAAATTTGGAAGTGGATTTTTGGTTCAAAACGCGCCAGCTGCTCGGCCTTGTCCCTAAACCATCTGCCGTCTTGGTTGTCACGTTTATCCCAGATTTATTTTCATTGAAAGACAGGTAGACAGAAGCCCGAATATTGTCTAATTCACGTTGCGTAAGAGCACTTGCTGTTTTCCCCCCAATAAAGTGGAGTACCTGACCCTCTTAGGCAATTTGGGGTTTTTATTTGGTTGTTTATTTTTTTACTTAGGAAAGTGCGTGTCCAACACAAGGAGCTGCTGAGGGGACGCCGGTAATAAAAAATGTTTTTATTTTTGATGCGTGTAAACGTCAGTGTGTTTTTAAGCACTCGTTTATTACGTAAATATTACGTATTATTGTAACAAAATCCATTTCATCGAATTGTATACTTCAATTGATTTGCCTCTGTGAGAGGAGAGGGTTAAAATATTTGTAATAAAAATAAATAAGAGTTAACAAATTTATTCTAGAGATTTCAATATTATGTAATTTTCAAATTTTATGCAAATCACTGGTCGTTTAAATTCCACTGAAAAAGGTTACGGTGTTACAAACTAGGCTTGATTATGTGTTTTATTCTTTTTTGGCCATTAAGAATTTCCAATCTTTACAAAATTTAGCAATAACTTTTAACCAGACGAACAAACCGAATGGAACTAAACGTTTTTTGCTTAAACTATCCATTTTTTGGAAAAGCTAATTGACGAATGAGAAGGTACTTAAAAATATGACGTTTTTTGATAATACAGTTTTTCGAAATTTTTTTGTTATTGAATTCTGCAAAATTTTCAATGTTTTTAAATGAGAACCCACTGTAATTGTATATCATGTTATTGGGAGTAAAAGTGATAGTTTATGTGGCGAATCTGAACAATTATTTATTTTGCCGAACATCACACGTCAGAATCAGATTTTGTGTTGAGATTTTCGAAAAAGTGTTTACAAAAATTACTTAGTGCATGATGTCGAATGCTGATATATACAATGTACAGAAATTGCTGAAGCAGTGAAAGAGACAAGAAAGAAACAACGTAAATGTCAATAATGTCATGGTAAAAATTAAAACGCTTAGGCCCAAAAATAGAATTTTTACTCCATGGCTGAGAAATAAAACTTTTACTTCTAACATTTATTAGACATAAAAGTGGTCACTTTTGTGGCGTTTGCTGATAAAAACCTTTTTTTTCAAGGCAATTTTTATTGAAAAAACTTTTTATGTATATAATTTTT